GCGGCGATGGCTCCCCTTTCGTAGGACCTAGCGGACAAGATCGAAGGCATAGTTCTCCCCTGGAGGGGTTAGTTAGTTCAATAGGTCGGTTGATCATTCTTGTAATAAACGGACAAGTGTCGACCCTTGTGTATCATTTAAACAAACTTATTTTGTTTTGTTTGACCAATTCTGTTCTTTTGTTTTGGTGCGAACGGATTTGTTTTTCCTCCCTTTTTATGTGTGAAATGGGGTTCATGCGTTCTGACCCTTCTGTTTGTTAAGACCGTAGAGCTCAAGGTGTAGGAGGGAAACTCTGATCACGCTGGCAAGCAAGGGTGTCGTAGCCGCTGGGGCGTAGGTTTCTCGTAGTCCGACTAGCCTTGCTCAGTCGTTCGTTTCTGCAGACCTTGCTACTAGGTTTAACGTGAGGAAGGGTGTCGGGCACGATGATTGTTTCAAAAAGGGTGTATGTATACCCTTATTAGCCCCCGAGTGAGATCCGACCCCTTGCCGTTGTTGGGGTCAAGTGTCACTAAAGATCGAGAAGAGGATAGCGAAACTAGTAGGAGAAAGCGTCTCTTGTTTTCGTGAGTACCCCCTCCCTAGGATATGAGCCATCGTTCTACAACCGTGCATTTGGTCTCCTTGTGAGTTTAACTTTCCTCGAGCCCCCACGCATAGCAGTGGTCCGGTCAAGGGTTGGCTCATCATTGTGATCGTCACCCCATCTGCGGTTTTCTCAATCGAAGGGGTTGAGCTAACATCACTTGCCTCGATGGCTCGAGTGACGCGCTCAATGAGCTCGCTATCAGCCATGTTCGAGTGGAATATGGGTCCGTCATTCATGATGAGGTTGGCATAGACCTCATGTGGCATTCCACTGCTCCTTAACTCACCTCCCGGCAGATGCCCGTGTTGCTGTGGAGAGCAACTCAGGTGGCCCGCTGACCTCTCCTCAATGGAGATTCTACGGGCTCGGCTCGAGGTTAGGATCGAACAAGAAGGTCGAGATGACCCTATCCACTTCTGAGTAGGTCAGGCAAAGGCCGCTGGGGCTCATCTGTGTTTTCTCCCCTGGCTCTGTTCGACACGAGGTGGCCTCGAGCCCTTCGTGGGCTAGCCTTCGAACCCCGATCAGTTGGATTCCCGAGTTTGGGTCGGGTGGCTCGAGCCCCTGAGCCCTATGGGACTCAGTGGGGGTCGGCCATGTTTCATGCATCACCCCGTCTGTCGTTTTTGCAATCGGAGGGGCTGAGCTAATGACACTTGCCTCGATGGCTCGATTGTCGCGCTCGGCAAGCTCGCTAGCGGGCATGTCCGAGTGGAATCTAGGTCTGTCATTCGTTGATGGGGTCGACATAGCCTTCATGTGGCATACCACTTCCCCTTAACTCGCCTCCCGACAGATGCCCGTGTCACTCCGGAGAGCGACTCTGGTGGTCCGTTGGCCTCTCCTCGATGGAGATTCTATGGGCTTGGCTCGAGGTTAGGATCAAACGAGAAAGGTCTAGATGTCCTTATCCGCTTCTGAGCAGGGTCAGGCAAGGCCGCTGGGGCTCATCTACATTTTTCTCCTCTAGCTCTGGTTGACACGAGGCGCCATCGAGCCCTTCGCGGGCCAGCCTTCAAACCTTGGTCAGTCGCCGCTTATGTCGAATGAGACGACTACCGATTCATGACGCGACGCAAAGCGTTGTGATGTTGCAATTGCATATGCAATACTCGGATGTATGGAATGAATGTATGGACGAATGCATGAATGCATGCATGAGCATGGATGAATGAATGATCATGCACTGGAAAAGAAAAGTGGGGGTTGGTAAATTTACCTCGATGGCTTGAGTGACGGGTCTGAATCCGTCGTTCGCGATGGAGTTGGCGTAACCTGCATGGGGTACCCCACTACTCCTTACCCGTCTCTCGGCCATGACCCAAGCCGTCCGGTTGACTTTAGGTGATCTGCTGGCCTCTCCTCGATGGAGATTCTGTAGGTGGGCCCCTCCAAATCCTTTCTAGGAAGGCGGAGGCTAAAGCTTGGAGTGCGGGCAACAAACTCCGATCATGCTAGTGAGCAAAAAAACGCCGTAGCCGTCGGGGCGTAGGTTTCTTGCAGTCCGACCAATTTGACCCATCGTTTGTTTCCACACACCTTGCCTCTAGGTTTTAGCGTGAGAAAAGGGTCAGGCATCAAGAATGTCTACCGAATAGACACTCTTGCTAGCCCCCGAGCAAGACCCGATCCCTTGCCGTTGCTAGGGTCGGGGGGCTCGATAGCAAAATTAATGCACATAAAGTAAGGGTGACCCATCTCTCGGCAGCGGCCTGAATCATTCGATCGACTTGGGTGACCCGCTGGCATAGGACTTACCTCGATGGCACGAGTGACGGGTTCAGGGAGCTCTTACCGGATATGTTCGAGCGAAATCCGGGTCCGTCATTCGAAACAGGATCAACATAACCCGCGTGGGGCATCCTGCTGCTCCCTACTCGTCCCTCGGCAGCGGCTAAGCCATCCGGTCGACTTGTATTACCCCACTGGGATAGGACTTACCTATGGAGATAGAGGATGAGAACATCCCACGCAAGAATTTAGTTAGACAGATAAGCCAGGCGGTGAACTTGTAATAAATGGACAAGCTCTTAAATTTTGTTATAGCCAAACAACTTTTTAGCCCTTCTCCCATTTTTGTATAAAAAGGTTAGTACATTTCGACTCTTTCTGTCGTTAAGGTCGTAAAGCTCGGGGTGCGGGTGAGCAAATTCTGATCACGCTGGTGAGCAAAGGCGCCGTAGCCGCTGGGGCGTAGGTTTCTCGTAGTCTGACCAGTTATACTCAGAGCTTGTTCCCGCAACCCTAGCTCCTAGATCTTAACGTGATAGGGGGTCGGGCACAGAGAAAGCTGGCCAGGTGGATAAACTCTTAGACACGCACCGACACTTTTCGTGACTAAGGCCAAAAAAGCCCACGGTGTGGAAAAAACTCTGATCACGCTGGTAAGCAAAGGCAGAGTCCAACCTAGAGGCCGGGTCAGGCGGAGCGCAAACCCTAGGGTTGAGCGAGGTGGAGCCCGCCCCCAGAGGTCGGTGCGAGGCGGAGCCCGTGGCCTCGGTGTCGGGCGAGGCGGAGCCCACCCTCAGAGGTCGGGTGAGGCGGAGCGCAAACCTAAGGGTTGGGCGAGTCAGAGCCCGCCCCCAGAGGTCGGGTGTGGTGGAGCGCAAACCCAAGGGTCGGGCGAGGCGGAGCCCGCCCCCAGAGGCCAGGCGAGGTGGAGCTTGCACACCTAGGGGTCGGTTGGAGTTGTAGTCGCGCTCTTGACTGCTCGGATGAATCAATGTTGATGGTTATTAGTTTCTCCTCTTCGGATACCCTAGTATTGGTCCCCGACAGATCTACAAACCTAATCTAAAACAACGAAGGGAAAGGGATCAGGTCCCTCTCCTCTATCCACCGCCGAGATAGAGAGGAGGGGGGACTGAGCAGGTTTCTTGGGAGAGGGCGGTGGCTTGGTAACGCCGAATGTCTACTTCCTTTTTCTTTTCTAGTGAACGGTGCTTTAGGCTCCTGGCATGGACGCAGAAGCGTACGAAAGAGAGGGCAATCTAACGTCCTATATTTATGCTTATTACAAATGAATGTTTAGTCTAGTATAGCGAGATATTCTGAATGGTCCTGAGTTCGAACCCATGTAGAAACCATTAATAGAGACAGACAAATGAAATTATTAGAATTGAATAGCCAAGTATAGGCATATGAATAGTCATGTATCTTGTACTCTATATAATCTTGTTCACTGAATGGAAAACTCAAGCCTCACACAATGCCGCCACTTTAGGTGTTAGGATGCAATTTGTAGTGGATGAGCTTGGGTTTGGTGTCACAATTTATGGCCCGCCCATTCTAAGTTGTGTAGTGGATTGTGGATGCTCTGGCGAAAGCTTTTGCATCCTAGCACCTAAAGTGGCGGGCATTGCGTGAGGCTTGAGTTTTCCATTCATTGAACAAGAATATATAGAGTACAAGATACATGACTATTCATATGCCTATATATGGCTATTTATATTCTAATAGAAATTAACATGAGTGTGTAGTCTAGTGATAGAGAGATGTTGTACATGCACAAAGGTCTCGAGTTTGAACCCATCTGGAAACCATTAACAAACCATTAGTAGAGTCGGACAAATGAAACTAACAAAGGATCAATGACCATTTACCAGAGACGGACGTGCAGCTTGCCTCTGAAAATGGTCGTTGACCGTCTCTGAAAATATTTTCTTTAGTAGTGGTAATCTCATGCATACGCTACTTGCTGTCTCTCAAAAATGGTTCTTGACCGTTCCTAAAAATCCTTTCTCCAATAGTAGTAATCTCATGCATAAGCTACTTGATGACCATCAAACTAATTTCTAAACAAATTACAGCAAAATAGACTTGGAAATACTATCTTAAAAAGTTCTCACAAGCATCACAAATCATAAAAAAAGAGAGAGAAAAACAATATTTGCTCTCTGTTGCCATATTTCTTAGGTGACTTAGGTTTATGCACAAATAACAATTATTCAGATAGCTGGAAGGAAACAAATAAACAATTGTATATGTCCGAGCACAAAAGACGACCAATACTTTTCTGCATTAAATATCTGAAAAATAATATCAGAAAATATTTATAGGTCAAATACAGAAATAAAATTTAAAAACATAAAATTTCTTTACGGCTCAGCTTTTCCTCAGTTCGCGTTTGATGAATAGAGTTTTGTTTAATTTACACCTGTATGACTACAAATACATGATGAATATTGGTGACACGAAAATAAGGTCAAAACATTAACATCAAGAACCGGAAACAAAAACAAATTATTATTACCTAATAGACAATCTCCACTCACTTCAGCCCCAACTATATTCGACTACTTTATTTACTCTAGAGCTATTACACCAGTTGACTAGTATGCAATCCGCGACAAGGCCACCACATGTCCACAAGTACATGGGTTTATGATACCAAGTCTTCCCATCCTTTTCATGGATAAACAGTAACCCTTCGGATATGACCGATCTTCTCAAGATTCCCATTGGACTCGTGTGTTTCTTCATTCCACTGAAATAGCTCCGTGAGCTCTTCGGATGCTCCTCGCAGATATAATTTCTCAAGTGTTCTAAGATGCTCAATGCCATCAGGGAGGGCCTTCAGTTCTGGACAATCTACTAGTGTTAGCTGAACAAGGCTTTGCAGTGCGCTTCGTTCGATTACAATGCTGTTGAGCTGCGGTGCATCTGATATTGCAAGCTGTCGAAGATTTGGAAAAGACATAGCATTAAAGTGAAGCCCCTTCCTTTCATAAGCCTTATCAACCCAAAGCCCGCGTAGACCATGCAACGTCAGGAGGCATGAAAATGAGTCTTCATCAAGTTTGGAGAATGCTAAGGTCAATAAGGTGAGGTTACCAAGATCTGAAAAGGATGATACAATCCGGGGCATTGCTTTCTTGTCCAGTTGCCCTCCTAATTCAAGCTTTGAAAGAGTTGGGGGTAAACAAAGTTCTTCCAGTTGAAGTGTTACCTTCTCACTTATAGCCATAATTGCTAAGCTAACAAGATGGTTCATGTTCATTATAACAGTGCATAAATCGGCACATTGTTCCCTCTGCACATTGGTGATGGCAAAAGTTCTCAACTGTGTCAAAGCGCCAAGATGACATAAAGTCTCTGAGCTCGCCTCAACAAGTCGCAAAGCTTGCAAGCCTATCAGGTATTTGATGCTTTTAGGCACCTGGATTCCAATCCAGGCCACAACTCCTTTGATATTTATCTCTGGAATGGTAGCTGCATGGAGATATCTCAACTTTCTAAGTTTCGAAACACTCTCTGGCAAAGCCAACAATTTAGCATTGTAAACATCCAAGACTTCAAGTTTTTGTAATCTTCCGACTGTGCTGGGGATATTCCTAACCTTAGTATTTCAAAGACTAAGAAACCGTAGATTAAACAAGTTGAAAACCTCATATGGCAGCTCCACAATCTGAGCACCTTGGAGATCTAGAGTTGATAGCAAGTAGAAATGTTTCAAGAAAGACCTAAGTGAATCAATAGTCAGACCATTACTAAAAACATATATTGAGCGAACTGTAAGGTCTGTTGGTTGAGTCAACTGCTTAATATTTGCACTGTGAATCAATAAGCGACGTGTCTTTTCAGCTGAAGAACTCCCCATGCCATCATAAACTTTACAGAAGCCTTCCTCATTTGCTTTTGTCAGAGCAAGAAGTCGAATAATGTCGTGCATTCGGCAACTCTGCACTCGTCCACTTTCATTTCTCTCCACTACTTGTAATAGGCTACGATTGGTAAGTTCATACAAATAGCCCTCTGCCAGTTCCTCCATTGTTTTATGCTCTGTTTCTCTGATGAGTCCCTCTGCTACCCAGTGCCTAATCAACCTTTTCCTTTTGATCAAATAATCCTCGGGAAATATTGTACAGTGCAAAAAACAGTTCTTTAAAATATATGGAAGATCCTCCAAACTAACCTTTAGAACAACATTAACATTAAGAATCACATTATTTGTCATCTGCAACTCTAGTTCCTTGTACAAGCTTTCCCAATCAGAGTAGGTTGGGCTTCTGCAAGACAAAACACGGCCTATGCATGCAATGGCAATGGGGAGCCCATTACACTTATGAACAAATCTTTGTGCCAAATTATTAAGTTCCAGCGGACACATTTTGTTTTCATTTTTCCAGAAGGCCTCTTTACAAAATAACTCCCATGAATGATGTGCCTCTAGTGGCTTCAACTCAATTATGCAATTTCCATTAGCCAGCAATGCTACTTGATGTATCCTCGATGTGATAATAAACCTGCTAGTGCTATTGGTAGGAAAAGCATCACTTATCTTGAACCAGATGTCAACGCCCCAGACGTCATCTAGCACTAAAACAAACCTTTTACCACGCAAATAATCATGGATGATCTCAACTAGGCTTCTCCTTTCCATGTCAACAATGTCAACACGAAGTTCACCCTTCAAATCACTTTTCTGAAATCCCCTGATGATCTGCTTCAGTAAGTCCTCCACTTGGTAAGCTTTTGAAACAGTTATCCATGCAGCAGTGTTGAAGTCTTCCTTCACAGTGTTGTAAACATGTGTAACCAAAGTGGTCTTGCCAACTCCCCCCATCCCCCATATCGTTGTAATTACACTTTGCTGTTGTAGATCACCCCTTAGCCAATTCATATCAACAACTCCTTGTTTTCATCAATGTCCACAAGATGTTCCTCTTTGGGGAAGTAAGAAATCTGGTCGGTAGATCTACAAGGAGCATCACTGCTTCCATCTTCTCTAGCAATTCCTCTCATGTCATATCGAACATTTCTCTTATCAACGTTCTCTAGTTTTAGTTTGATCTCTTGCAATTTGGACGTGAGACGTCGCCATGTCCAAATACGATTAATCCAGCGCTTCATCTTTGCAGCAAAACTACCATGCTTGTCCTCCATCTTGTAGATGAACTCATCGATCGAAAGCAAGGCCACGAATCTTCTTGATAAAGTTGGCAGTGTTGTTGTCAGTATCTTTGAATCTCTCGGCTCCTTGTAGGAAAGATTGCATGCTCTCCAATTCCTCCTTGATATCACGGATCTCAACAAAGAGCCTGCCAAGGGCTGAAGCTTCATGGTAGAGCCGTTTTGTGCCAAACCTGCAAGCCTCTAAAACCAAGGCTGAACCAAGCTTCAGAATAAGGACGCCGACAACCCCCTCTGCCATTGCACTGTTGGCTTCTTCTCAGTATTGAAATGCATTGATCCTAAAAGGGAAAAGGCAAAATGTTAAGGTGGATGCGCAGCCAACACCATGTTTTACCATAGAGACTCGAAAAATAAAGGGCAGACCCAGTGCAGAGGCTCCTACATGAGTGGGGTTAGGGAAGGAAAAAACCGAGGCAAGCCTTCCCCCGCAAAATCTGGAGAGAGGCTGCTTCGAACCCACGACCTGGTGACTCAGTGAGATAGCTCTCACCACTGCACCAGGCCTGCCCTTCCAAAAAAAAATCAATCCAGGGAGGCCCCCACCGGGGGCCCCTACAAGTCGCGCAACGCTTCGCGGCCGCTGGGGTTCGAACCCGTGACCTCATGGTCACGTGTTTCCTCCTCTAACCACTCCACCCATCACTCAATTGTGTAAAGAGACTCGAAAAATGAAAGAAAATATTTTAACTCTGATAGGAAAGCTGAAAGAGCAAAGTTTATAACAGCATGCCCAGGATCTATTACTGTTAGTGTATATGAACATACCCTACTCATAAGATAATCAGATGTCAGGTCCCTTTTAAGTTCTAACTAGCACTAGGTGGACCTTTGTACAATACATATATATAATTGTATATGTAGAGCAAAAGCGAAATATCATCTCTACCTTTTATGTACTCTTATCGAATTGATGATTCAATTTCTTTGGTGCCCCTAACTGCACCACACCCTTTTTTTTATGAAAACCACACCCTGTTTTGACAAGCACATGATAACTTATTCTGTAATTATGCCAAAATAAAAATAGACATTACTTTGTTGTGCATATATAAGGCTATGCCTAGCTGTAAATTTCAGGATCCACAACATTATGCTATTGAAAACTAGAATGGTGAAGGTGTACATGTAAACGATGCATAATGTGTTACAAATTAACTAGTATACGACAACGCACATACCAATTTTATGGATCTAAGGAAAGTTTAGAACTTATCATGCACAAATGCTTCCTCTTAATGAAAAACGTGTCAACGGACATGTTCTCGGGAAAAATGCAGTAATCACAAATTTGTTGAATAGGGCGGGATCCTAGATGCCTCTCCCTCGTTCTGAAGTTGTATGAAGTCAAGATTCCAAAGTTTGGCCTCTACTTTTTCTTCTAATATTATCGATAAATATAGAAAACGTAATTTTTTATGGAACTATTTTTAAAGACAAATCTGCTCCGATCACTTCCAAACATTGAAGCTCAATATATAAAAGGGTAAATAATAGTTAAAGTTTGGAATGGTTGACTTTAGACAACCTCAAAACATCACTTTTTTATGATCAGATGGAATGGTCATCGAATATTTCATGAGCTTGCTTAGGCCCTGTTTGATGCAAACATGTCTAGCTAATAGTTTTGCTAATTGTTAGTTGAATAACTAACTAACAACCAAACTAGCTAATAGCAGTTAGTTGTGACCTGTTAGCTAGCTAACTATTAGCAGCTAATGGATCCAAACAGGCCCTTAATTGTACATCTAGCTACAAGGCTACAGACAACTTACTAAACACAAGAAACAGTAAGTTAGCAAGTTCCGAGTTTCCTTTCTTATTCAGATTGATTCGAAAAAGGGAGAACTTCATAAGCGACAGTCCACCGACTCCCCAAGAAAAAAAAAGAAGAAGAAGAGTTGGTTTAGCTATGCTCTTGTAAATTCGAGTTTTTTTAGTCTAAACCGATCCTTAAATATTCAAGAAATTAGCTCAATGCTATAAATAATAAATCCTAGAAAACTACGTTGGATCTTGGAACCGGTCCAACCATTCAATAAGCTTTAAACTAACAGCTGAATACGGATTGTGTTTCTATATGGTCTTCAAGCTTGGAGGGGATCTGAGAGGGGTTACAAAGGAACACACCGTATCCAGTAGAAATCAAGCGCCAGGAGCGGCTCCGCTAGTAACTGGGGCTGGAGGTGATACCCTTGATCTGGAATTCGGCGGGGGATTGCCGGGGCTCGGGTCGCTGAAGTGCACGCGTCAAGTAGCAGAAAATAGATAGGAGAGAGGGGGCGGAACACGCGCTAAGATGGCAGTTTTCAGTTAATAATTAATAATTAATACTTCCTCTTGTTATTTGTAAAAAAGTTATTATTTAATAAACGAAAATGCTCCACCGAAGCGTTTATTCCACGTCAATTAGTCCGGACGCGGCTAGATGGGTTGCCGACCGGCCCAACTCCTCTCGTCAGCTTACATGGTTTCTCCAAAAAATAAAATAAATATTGGACTTAATTGTTTCTACCTCTATTTTTATGTCCATTTATAATTTTGTCCTCATTTTCCCCTAGTCTGTTAAGTCCCTCTATTGATGTTAACTTTTGGATGAAAGGACAACTTTGTCCAAGCGTTTTTATCCCTGTTTTATTATGTTATTTGTGTTTTTACCCCTAATTTCAGACAAGAAGTTGACATTGTTTGTATAGAATTCTTAGAAAAATTCAACAGTATAAACACAATTTAATATCACACAACTAGTGCATATAAACCAAATACATGCAACATGTCATCATAGTACCACAATAGAAGCCAACATACATGTATAAATGACATATCAAATACTAACATCTAGGTCTAAATGACATGTCAAACAAAAGTAGAAGCTACTAGTGAGTTTTCTAGGTAACTAGTAGTGAGCTATCAAGCATCAAAACCTAACAAAGTAAGCACTTGCACTTTATATGAAAAAAGAGAAGAGTTATGTTAGTAAAGTTACTAAAATATGTAGTAGAGAGAAGCAATATTGGCTTGCTTACTTTGTCTCATTGTTGGCCTCTGCTGACCCTCTTCCTCTTTCCCTTCCCCTTCCTCTTCCAGTTGCAGTACCACTTGCACTAGCACTAGCACTAGCACTAGCACTTGCACTTAATGTTTGTTAGAAAAAATGTTAGTACAAGTAAATATGAATAATTGAAATAAATAAATGGAATTGGGCAGCGATGCATATATGACTCACATTGGGTTATTGCTTCCTTGTCCTGATCCATCTTGTGGTGTTGATTGTCTCCTTTTTTGACTAGCTGTAGGGCCTTCTTGGCAAGTCTTGGCTGTATGTCCTAGTTCATTGCATTCGGAACACATCTTCCTATTCTTACCAGTGGCAACTTCATCATGTGGCTTGATCCTAGATTTTCTTGGCCTCTCAGGTTTCCTTCTCATTTTAGGTTTCTTGATTTTATAGCCTAAATCAACATGAGGCCATTGATACTTGATGTCATTGGAATGAATTTGCTTGCATATGCCTTTCTGAATCTACCAACATAGAAGTATTCATGGACAAATTCATCCATCTGTACCTCCCTACTCATCTTTGCAATGAAGGCCAAAGCATGGCTGCATGGTTTTCCAGTCACTTGCCAAGCCCGACAGCTACAGGTCTTTTCATCCAAGTTCATTGCATGCCTGAATCTATTCACAGTTACTTTAGCTTTTGCAGGCCCACATATTAGTACCTCATGGTCTTTGATACTCTTTGTTTTAGCATTTAAATTACTAATGATAGCTGGGATTATAATGCCTGACATATTAGTACCAATAGCCTTCTTCACATTATTGACAAACCAAGTCCAACTTTCCTTAGACTCAGTCTCAATCACTCCATATGCCACTGGGAACAACCGGTTATGACCATCCACTGCAACAGCTGATGCCAACTGACCTCTTGATCTCCTTGTCAAGTGTGTTGCATCCATTGCAATATATGGTGTACACCCTCGCAAGAAGCCATCTATGCATGGTTTAAGAGCAACAAAGAACCTCAAAAAGCACACATCACCATTATGCTCTTCAGTCTCTAGCTCCACAACACTACCAGGTACTGATCTCAGAAGTTCAGCTTGATAAGTAGGCAACAACTCATAACTTTCATTCCATTTGCCATAAATCATGTCTAGTGCTCTCAACTTCCCCCTAACAACTCTGTCATATGGAACATCCACTGAGTATTTCTTCTTTAGTTTGCCCTCAATGCAACCGATCCCATTTCAAGGTCTTCCATCAACAAATTCACCACTCTGTCAGCCACCCATTTATTAGAGGCCATTATCTGACCACACTTGTTGAATAAGCCACAGGTATGCTTTGGTCCACTTGTCTTAACCTGCAACAAAAAATGTACAAAAACAAGTCGTCAGAATAGGTGAACATGCAATAATATGAACCAAATAATTGGTGGTTCCAACAAAGTGAGTTAATTAATACCTTGCACCCAACGTATTTCTTGCTTGTAGATGCAAAAAAATCCACTTACAACCTTGATCAGCTCTTGCATATGGCCCTAAATCTTGTTGTGTCTTTTTTCACAATATTGAAAGCATGATCATGCAAGATATCATGATGTGTGACTGCTAACTTGCATTGATCCACATCTGGGAACACCACATTGAAAACCCTAGTTTGGTTTTGGATAATTGATGAAACCCTAGGACTAACCTTTGATCTAAGTGTGTGAATTAGATAAGGTAGTCCATTCCAAGTGGTGAAGCTAGATGATGGTCATGGTTAAGGTGATGGCCACAAAGGAGATGATCAAGTGCTCCAACCTGAAAAAGAAGAAAGAGAAAAACAAAAACCAAGGAGATCAAGGCAAATGTATCAAATAGGTTTTTGTTTTGGCACTCAAGACACTATAGAGGGTGTGAGTGTGTTTAGGATCGATAGCCGTACTATAAAGAGGAAAAATCTTTGGCTAAGCGGTTATCGAGTGCCACTAGGTGATATGATTCTTGTATATGCATTTAGGGACCTACTGTGCTAACAATTGACCCTTGAAAAAATCACATGTGTACACAAGTTACACACTTTGTGGTTAGCAACTTGGAAGCAAGGGTGAAGAGGTTGATGAGTTAGAAAAAGAAAAAGGGGAAGACAACAGTGACTGG